GCCGGATGCGTATTAATTCTTGGCTCGTGCAAACTCTGAACGTAGCCATTAGAACATAAGCTCAAGAGTATATACAGTCATATTTGTTTTGTTTTGTTCCAGTTTGCTGCCTTATGCTATTTTCTAAGCGAAACTTAATTTCATGTCACGCTAACTACCAAACATCACAAATTCGGTAAGGTAACTAGACGCATCGCGTAAACAGGTTAAGGTAGCCGATGATGATCATCACGAAAACCTGTAAATCATGAAGCTCTTACCAGTTGCAAATCTCTCGTCGTTTTCCTGCGGAATCTTTTCGGCTTTCTGATATATGTTGTTGTCTTCCCTGATGAGCAACTTACGCCTTGCGTGATACAGAATTGCAGCCATTAAAATCACTAGCATAGTCATCAATGACGGAACAAGCACTGGAAGCAGGTGGTGGAGATACTCCATTGTTTTCTCCAACACCGTCCGGGCCGAGCTTTTGTCAGTGTTGTGTTAATGATTATTTACCAAAAGATCCTCCGACGAAGGCTATTGATCTTCACAATATGCAAATGACTTGAACGTTTGTGGTCAAAATTGTTTAGGTTCAGGAACAAGTGCACTGCTGGAGATCATTTGACAAAGTCTAGACCGATGACGTCAATGCGACTGGCGTCTTTATGCCGAGATGGGGTCAAAACCTCGTTCCTAGCGGCTTACATAATGATATCGCCACAAAATGATATCAAATTATGTTAACAAACAGCCGGTATATTCAGAATTCGTTTATTGGTTTTAATTTTCTGGCACGAAGACGTCACATGCTTAGTTACATTCAAAACGATAGCCGTTTAAGGTTTAGCTTTTGTGGCCTGAAATTTTCAAATTTCCTTTTACAAACCAAAACAAAAATATCATAAGTAAACGTTTTAATTAAACACACTGCAGAGTTTGATGGCAAGAAATCTTAAGTCAATAACAGTTGAACAAGGAACGTTTCAACAGCCAAAAGTGCCTGAGTAGTGACGCGTCAATACTTTATACTTTGCTGGCGTGAAACCAAGGAAATATTAGACGTCTGCCCGCGGGCTACTGAACAGGGAGTCCTTTTAGAATTCGTCCTTATAAGCAAGGTTTGAATTTATTCCAAGA